TTCTGTGTGTGCATGCATGCGTGTTCACGCCATCGTCAACCACACCACATTGACACAGCAACAGCTGCACTGCTTGCTGTCCTGCGCGGCGTTGTGGCGGTGCACTCAAGGCCCTTTGCCAGCCAGTTTCCCGCTGCTGCTAGCTGTGCTTCTCCCTGCCCATCTCAATCACCTCAGCTTCAACCACAACTGCTGCTGTGTTCCGCCACCTCATCTTGTGCCAGCGAGGCATCACACCCCGCGGCCACAGCCGTCACTGCACACTGCCGGTTTCAAGCAGCTCACTGCGTTGGATGCTGTTGGCTCGTGGACCACCACACTGTTGTTGGAAGAGGGATTGGCCGTGATTGTGGCGGTTGATGTGGTGGTGCTGCACGCCATGACAACAACAGCGGCAGTTGACGAGGTGATGGTGTGCTTGCACTCCTCACTGGTTGCAGCGGCAGCAAGGAGGTGGCCATCGTGTTTCTGGTTCGCATGCATGTGCTGGCCAACGTGGCGCAGGAGCGGTTCTTGGACTACGACAACGATTCTGTGCCGTTTATGAAGAACATTTTCCAACACGCAAACGACAGGCAATACCGCATGCTGCGCGGCCTGATGGGCGTGTCTGTCTGCAAGGACATGTTTGCGCCGGATGCACACGAGCTCATGCGCATTATGCGAGCCAGTACCGCCCAGATTGAGGAGGAGGATCCACAACCCTCGTACATCCACACAAGGTGCGCTCAAGGTCAAGAGAGAGAGTGTGTGTGTGTATGTGTGTGTGAGTGAGTGAACATGTCCGAACATGTCGCTTCGTCGTTTCCCTCCTTTCTCCACTTTCGGCTTGCCAAGCCTCACTGCCACCCCTTGTCGTCCTGCCGCGTTCAGGCTGTTGAGTCGCTGCTCGCTGTGATCCAGGGTACCCGGCTCCCGCGAATCGCCCAACACCAGCGCGACCAAGAACTGCATCTCCGTCTTTGTCAAGATTGCACGCAACCCAGCACACGGCCTCTCAGAGGTGTGTGTGGTTGTGTGTGTGTGTGTGTGCGTGCGTTGGTACACTCCTTCGCCGTCCTTTTGCGTTGGTTGTTTGCTCTTGTTATCACGTTGTCGTCGCTTATTCTTTACCCACCCATCCACCACCAACCCTTGCACAGACGAGGTGCTGACACATCTGCTTGACTGGCTGCCCATTACAGAAGACGACGATGAGGCAAAGTACATCTTCACACACCTCGTCGAGCTCCTCCAAGCGTGAGTGCTACGACCGTGTTTTGTGTGTGTCTGTGTATGTGTGTATGTGTGTGTGTGTGTGTGTGTGTGCATGTGTCGGTGGTGTGCTCTGCCGCCTGTCGTTCTTGTTCCCGACTGACCCACGTCCCCTCCCCCATTGCTTCCTGTACCTCTCCTTCCTTTTGTTGTTGCTTCAGTCGGCAACATCCACGCGTGACCGCGCCTGAGAGCCCGGTGAAGATTGTGCGGGCGTTTGTTTGTGCAGGTGATTGGCACCCCCGCGGCCGCCGTCGACGAGCCCCACTGCCAGGGCATGTACACAGCCTCATGGTGCGTGGGTTGTGTTGTGTGTGATTTATGTGATGTGTGTGTGTGTGTGGGTGTGTGTTTGCTGCCTCGAATATGCGCGACTGTCGCGTACTTCGTGCACTTTCCCATCCTCCTCTTCCTCCTCATTCTCACACTCCTCCTCTTTCCTCTCCTCATTCTCACGCCCTCGTGTCGTTTCCTCTCGTAGAACATGCAGGATTCGCCTGCCCACGGTGTGTTGGGGCAGTTGATGCAGGATCCCGAGGCGCACGCCCGCGTGCAGCGCGCTGTTGAGGCACTTAGCTCGTCCGCGTAGTCGCCATGTTGTGATGTGTCGTGTCAACTTGTGCACCAGTTGGAGGAATGGCTGAATGGCTGTCGCTTCCTTTGTCGCATTCCTCTTGTTTCCCTTTCTTGTTCTCTTCCCTCTTCTTCTCTTCTCTTCTCTTCTGTTCTTCCCTTCCTTCACTCTCCCTCTCGCCTGCTTGCTTGCTTGCTTATGTCACGCCCTTCTTGTGCTTGCCTGTTGTTTTCATTGTTTGGCGCTGTGTACGGCTGAACACGTTCTTGGTGTGGTTGGTGGATGTGTGCTGCTGCTGCTGCTGTGTGTGTTTGATTCTGGCTTGTGACTGGAGGGTGTTGTTTGATGTGCAGAGGGGTTGGCTGTTGTTTGGTTGGCTTGGCTTCCTGTTGCATTTGGGCACTGCTGTGTGTGTGGATGTGTGGATGTGTGTGTGTTGATGTGTGTTGGGCTGGGGGCGTTGTTTGTGGGTTGTGTGGCGGACCTGTTCTTTCCTCAGTAAATGGCTCGATGAAGATGATGAGACCCGCTTGACGGTGGTGGTGGTGGAGCGGCGGTGATGTTTGTGGTGTTGATGTGGCTACAGACATTGGTGTGTTGTACCAACCAGGCAAGGCCAAGCGAGGAGGGCGCGGCTGTTGTTCCTTTCGGCGACAAGAGAGTCGGGTTGCTGGCTGGACGCACTTCATCCTGTTTGTTTGTTGTGTTCCTGTCGACAACGAGGGCTCGAAGAGATTGTTGACGAACATCTTCCACGGAAGCGCTGCTGTGCGGATAACCTCTGTAAGGTTTTGCGAATCGTCCAATGGCTGAGTCGCAAAACAACAACAACACACACAAAACAAAGGAAACAAAAAGCAGCGCGTTGAGTCGTCGTCCATTTTGTCGTCGTCTCTTCTTCCAGCCACTCACGAGCACGTCACAACAAGCCACAAGGAGAAAAGACGACGCGCCGTCGCCATGTCCGGCGGAGAGAAGAGAGCGAGGGAGGAGGTGGAGGCGTTGCTGGCGCAGACGAAGCTGATGGATGGGGTGAAGCACAAGATCAGGGCCATCGCCAACAACACGTGTGGGGATTATGAGAAGTGAGTGCAAAAGCAACCAAAACGACATGTTGGAACATGTATGTGTTGGACACAAGGACACTTGTTGTGGTTGTGCTTATTCTCCCCTCTCTCTCTGCTTGGCTTGTCCTTGTGTTGCAATGAGCGTGGTGTGGCTTGCTGTTGGGTGTTCACGTGTGTGTCCTGTCCCCTCGCACCGCCTGGACACACTGTGTGTGTTTGTGGCAGGTTGGGACTGGCACCCTCATGGTTTTGCTCTGTCTCGATCCTCAGTCTTCTTGCTCATTTCATGACACACACCATTTGGAATTACAGCTTGGGTGGTTATGGCCTCGGCGCCATTGAGGCGCGTGCGGTGGCCGAGGCGCTCAAGGACAACACCTGCCTCAAACGACTCTAGTGCGTGGTGATGATGAATCTGCATCGTGTGATATGCATGGTTGATTGGGATGGCGGTGTTGCATGTTGCACCCCTTTCTCCTCCCCTGCTTGCGCATGTTTGGACGTGTGTTCACCGTCGCTCCCTGCGGTTCTTGTGTGTCTGCACAGCCTGTGGGGCAACTCCATCGGTCCTGAGGGCGCTGTGGCGTTGGCGGAGATGTTGAAGCACAACACGACCCTCGAACGACTCAGGTGAGTGTACACGCACACACACACACACACACATGTGTGCTGCGTCACTGCCTGTTGCACCTTATCACGTGCACACGTGCCCATGTGTGGATTGGTGACTGTGTTGCCACCCACAACAATCATCATCACGCACGCACGCACTCACTCTTCCTCATCCATGTGGCATCATCGCCCTTCGTGGCATTATACCATCTGGACAGCCTGCGATGGAATTCCATCGGCGATGAGGGCGCTGCGGCGTTGGCGGAGATGCTGAAGCACAACACGACCCTCGAAGAACTCAGGTGAGTGTGTACACGCACACATGCGCACACATGTATGCTGCGTCACTGCCCCTGCACCTTCTCACGTGCACATGTGTGGTTGATGACTGTGTTGCCACCCACAGCGAGCATCATCACGCACTCACTCACTCACTCTTCCTCATCCATGTGGCATCATCGCCCTGTGTGGCATCCACCATACCGTCTTGACAGCCTGTACAACAACTCCATCGGCGATGAGGGCGCCGTGGCGTTGGCGGAGATGTTGAAGCACAACACGGCCCTCGAAACACTCTAGTGAGTGTGTACACGCACACATGCACACATGTATGCTGCGTCACTGTCGTTGCACCTTATCACGTGCACATGTGTGGATTGATGACTGTGTTGCCACCCACAGCAATCATCATCACGCTCTTCCTCACCCATGTGGCATCATCCCCCTGTGTGGCATCATACCATCTTGACAGCCTGGACAACAATTCCATAGGCGACCAGGGCGCCGTGGTGTTGGCGGAGATGCTGAAGCACAACACGACCATGACAGGACTCAAGTGAGTGTGTACACGCACACACACATGTATGCTGCGTCACTGCCGTTGCACCTTATCATGTGCACATGTGCCCATGTGTGGTTCAACGACTGTGTTGCCACCCACAGCAATCATCATCACGCACTTACTCACTCTTCCTCACCCATGTGGCACCATCGCTTTGTGTGGCATCACATTATCTTGACAGCCTGGGGGCCAACTCCATCGGCGATGAGGGCGCTGTGGCGTTGGCGGAGATGCTGAAGCACAACACGGCCCTCAAAGAACTCTAGTGAGTGTGTACACGCACACATATGTGGATGGAAAGGGGCTGCGTCACTGCCGTTGCACCTTATCATGTGCACATGTGTGGTTGATGACTGTGTTGACACCCACAGCAATCATCATCACGCACTCACTCCCTCTTCCTCACCCATGTGGCATCATCGCCCTGTGTGGCATTCGCCATACCGTCTTGACAGCCTGGAGGGCAATTCCATCGGCAACCAGGGCGCCGTGGCGTTGGCGGAGATGCTGAAGCACAACACGACCCTCGAACGACTCTTGTGAGTGTGTACACGCACACATGCACATGTATGCTGCGTCACTGCCTGTTGCACCTTTTCATGTGCACACGTGTGGTGGGGTAGGATGAGTTCAATGACTGTGTTGCCACCCACAGCAATCATCATCATCACTCACGCACTCTTCCTCACCCATGTGGCATCATCGCCCTTCGTGGCATTATACCATCTGGACAGCCTGGAACGCAACCGCGTCGGCGATAAGGGCGCTGTGGCGTTGGCGGAGATGCTGAAGCACAACACGACCCTCACAGGACTCAAGTGAGTGTGGACATGCATACATGCACATGTATGCTGCGTCACTGCTGTTGCACCTTATCATGTGCACATGTGCCCATGTGTGGTTCAACGACTGTGTTGCCACCCACAGCAATCATCATCACGCACTTACTCACTCTTCCTCACCCATGTGGCACCATCGCTTTGTGTGGCATCACATTATCTTGACAGCCTGGGGGCCAACTCCATCGGCGATGAGGGCGCTGTGGCGTTGGCGGAGATGCTGAAGCACAACACGACCCTCACATGGCTCGGGTGAGTGTGTACACGCACACATGTACATGTATGGATGGAAATGGGCTGCGTCGCTGTTGCGCTGTCACTGCCGCCGCTCGTACCTGGTGCAAGCAAGTAGGGCGTGTTCCTGATTGCAACAGTGACCCGCTTCGTTCCTGTCGCCAACTCACCTGTTTCTCCATCTCATCCAACAGCATTGGCCGCAATCGTATCACGGAGCGTGGCATGGTCAATGTGCTGAAGCAGCTGCAACACATCGACGCCAAGGCTAAGATTCGGTGAGTTTCGTGTGCTTGCGACCTTGCTCCACCCACATGCACCGAATCAATTTCAGTTCAATTTCTTTCATCTCACATTCCCTCTTCACGGCATCACAGGCTGTTTGAGGACAAGCTCAAATCCTCCACTGCAGTTGCCCGTGCACTGGCCACGCTCCGCACCAAGCAGCCAGACATCAACGTTGTCTTCGCGTGAGTTCGTACAGCAGTACAGTGACAGACTTACTCTTGTTCAAACCACCCTTCACACCGAACCTCATTCACCGTCCACTCTGCTTTCTTCTTCTCCTCAGGCCTTTTGATTCAGAGGACAAGTTTGACTCTTCCGCCAAGGCCGCCTATCAAGACCGGCTCGATCTTCTCAGGCTGCTAGAAACAGGCTCCGTCCCTCTTGAGACAGCGAAGGTGTTCGTCTGCGGCGACTACGGCATCGGCAAGACGACCATGATTGAGTCGCTTCCCGGCAGTCTGTTTCGCCGCTTCACACGGACCATCTTCCAACCAGCAAATGACCCAGACCGCTCAAACGAGCGCACACCCGGCATTCGGGTGTGTGAAATGAAGCTGAAAGACACCACAAGCCAAGGCAGCGACGGTGACAACGCTGCTTCTCTTCGCGTGTACGATTTTGGTGGGCAGCTCGCATATCACGTCATCCACACGCTGATGATGTCGGATCGCTTCGCTGCCTTTGTCGTCTGCGTCGACCTCTCTGAGCCTAAAGAACATGTGAAGGAGCGCGCCAACTACTGGCTGCAGTTCATCTGCACGCGACTGCAGCAGGGCATTGCAGCAGCCACAGCAACGGCAGACGGCGGTGCCATGGAAGAGGTGAAGCCGCGCGTCGTGATCGCGGGCACCAAGAGGGATCTTGCTCGCGATAAGGCGCTTGTTGATGAACATGGTCATCCGCCCTGGGGTACAGCGATGGTCGCGGACCTGAGGAGACAATCAACCAAACCCGGTTCTTCGCTCTTATTTGGCGACATCGTCGATATCCAAGACAGCTTCATCACTCTCAACTGCCATCAGGGCGGCGAGGCCGGTTTTGATGTGCTCCGATCACAGCTTGTTGACCATTGGCATTGGCTGAGAGGGCGAGAGGTGTTGGTGCCACAGGTGGTGAATGAAGTGGCAGGGGCCTTAAAGAAAGCAGTGAAGAACAAGGCGATGTGGAGCGTGGGTGATTTATTGGACTTTGTTCGTGGCAGCGGGAATGGCATCGACCTCATCTCCGCGATCCAAGAGGGCACCTTCCACCAAACGCTCAGGCAAGTACAATGTGTGCGTGTGTGCTTTTGGTGTGTGTATGTGTGTGTGTGTGTGTGCGTGTGTGCGTGTGCGTGTGTGTGTGTGTGTGTGTGCGTGTGCGTGTGTGTGTGTGTGTGTGTGCGTGTGTGCGTGTGTGTTTGGCCGTAGGAGTTGAGGAGTTTCATGGTAGTCACACTTTCATCCCTCAATCATGTGTTGCGCGTTTACACCCTCCACTCCCTGCTAACCCATACTTTTTGCATGTCCACAGGTACCTCCACACACGCGGCGATCTGCTCTGGTACTCCAGCACGCCCTCCCTGGCGGACTTCGTCTTCGTCGACCCGAACTGGCTGCTTCATGACGTGTTGGGGAGAGCGCTGACGCCGGATGGCGTGCAGCAAGGCTCCATCACAAAGAAAGGCGTCGTGACCTTCACGGACCTGGAAACCGCATTCCGAGGCATTGCCACCGCAGATCTTGTCATCAGCGTGCTGCAGCACACGCTCCTCTGCTTCGAGCTGCCGCCTTCGAACGATGGCCAGCGGCAATTCATGCTGCCGAGCCGTGTTGAGAAGAAGGCCGATCTCGCAACCGCCTGGCCTCGAACGGGCTTCTGGCCCGTCTACGGTGGACGACTGCTGGTGGTCGAGAGCAAAGCACTTGCATTACCACCTGGCTTCTTCCCACACGTGCAGACTTTGTTGCACAAGTCTTTTGGCGCAACGCTGAAGGTGTGGCCAGACGCCTTTTTCTGTGAACACGATGGCGTGCAGTGCCTCGGACTGCTGCGAGGCGAACGAGAAGTGGACGTCTGGGTGCGGGCGCCTTCTGGCGCAGAGCACAAGGCCCTGCCGTTCATGACAAAAGTCAGTTTGTGAGCGAATGTGAGTGCTTGTGGGCGTGTGTGTGTTGTGTGTGAGCTTGCGTTGTGTTGTCCCTTCACTTGCCAGCGAATGGCCAGCTTTGATTTTTCACCCTCATTCCATCCTCTGCTCACTTGCGGTGTTGATGACAGGTGCTGTCTGTGCTACAAGGGGAAGCAAGAGGGATTGACCATGTCCACCTCGTCCTCAGCACAAAACACCTGAAGCGCCACGAGAAATACCCAGCCGCTCACAAGCTTGGGGACCTGACAGGCAAGGACCCAGACGAGCTCGTCACGTCCACGCACCACAGGGAAAGCCAGAACCCAGTGTCCGATCGCGTTGGCGATCTGTTGCTGCAGGCGCCCGCGCATCCGCCACCTGTCATGCCGTCTTGGCAGTTGCGCGACCACGAATGGCACCACCCTGCATGGCGGCTCGACGATGCCTTTGATGAGCAGCTTCCATGGAGGGGGCCAAGTGAACATGGAGTGTATTCAGCACCACTGCCACCAGACACTGACTTGTACCGGTGGATAGAGAGCCGGATGACGCCGGGCCTCACCCTGTCGCGCGTGGAGATGATCAAGTCCACCATGATGCTGCGGGCGTTCAAAGCGCAGGTGGAGCGGTCGGCAACGCGTCGTGGTGACACGAAAACAACAAACAAATTCAACAAGGACTTTGGGCTTGGTGATCCAGAGAAGCGCGCCATGCTCAAACAACTCAAGATGCAGTTTGCAAAAACACGCACCGGCTTGAAGCACGTCAACATCCTTGTGGGTTTCCATGGGTGTGACGAGGCTGTCGCTGACAGCATCAGTGCGTGCGGGGCAGCGAACTTTAGCAGCCCGGGCGACCGTGGCTTCTTCGGATCTGGCATCTACCTCACACCGCAGACAAGCTATGCCGCAGGGTACTCCACGCGTGTTTTGTTGAATGGTGATTTGCGCTCATCCAATGCAAATGGAGAGCACGTGATGCTCCTGTGCGCTGCCAGCGTTGGCCTGGCATACCCGATCACCCGGGCCGCAGATTACCCCCATGGCTCGAATGAATGCTCCTACTATGGGAAGCCTTTTGATGAAAGCCAAGACACCCACTATGCGCAGGTGACACGCGCCACCAACTTACAGGCCACGCCCACACCTGGCACGTTTGCCTTTGAGGAGTACGTCGTTTCGCAAGAGGCGCAGGTCCTCCCATTTGCCAAGGTGTTTGTGAAGGTGGACATGGGCGCCTATTTGTCGCACTTGTCAACCCTGCCATGAACACCAAGAGTGGAGACGATGTCGTTCACATGCAACCTTTGTTGTTGTTGTGTGTGTGTGTGTGTGTGTGTGTGTGTGTGTGTGTGTGTGTGTGTGTGTGTGCGTACGTTTGCGTTCATGCACAGTCTGCATTGTGTGTGTACTTTTGCGTTCACGCACAGCCTGCATTGTGTGAGTGCTGTTTCTTTTCTTTCTTAAACCGGCCATCCTGTTCCTTCTCAAAGCGCCTGTTGCCCCCGCGTCTCTTCAACACCACGCCCGTTTCCGCGTTTCCTTCCTTCCTTAATTTGCGATGCCCACATGTTTCAGTTTCTGTGACAATCCCAAATGCACAGGACACAATTGCGCTTGTTGACGGCACTTGTCTATTTCACTCCGACTCTCCCACGGCACCGTCGATCAGAAACGACAACAGCGCCCCCGCATAGCCGGCGGCTTGCATGCTGGATACCTGCTCCCCAAGCAGCACCGCATACAGCAACACGAAGCCCCGCCACAAACCGCCACCAAGATCTGCAGCGCAATGCTGCAATGCAGTGGGCGAGCAAAGAGAAGACGAGGGCGCACCACCATGACCCGAAGCAGAGGCACACACACACACACACACACACACACACACACACACATACACACACACACACGCACAAACACACATACACACAAACAAACAAACACATACACACACACACGCGCGCGCGCTGCTGTTTGGATACAGGCAGTGGCCAACGTTCTAACGTTGCATGATGGTGGCCTGCCTGAGACGTGAATGGTTCCAGCTACATGTGCACGTGCACACGGATGCGTGCGATGTGTGAGTATGGTGGACGTGTACGCGCACCCAAACACCACACACACACACACACACACACACACACACACACACACACACACACACACACACACACACACACATACACACACACACACACACACACACACACACACACACACACACACACACACACGCACGCACACACAGTCACCAAGGAGGACGCGCATTGCGGTTGTTGCATGCGTGCACGCGTGCGTTCCCAATCGATGACGTCATTTTCGTCACTGACCCAACCATTGTGGGCTAAATTTTGCTCGCTTGCTTGATGTGCTGTTTGCGCGTCCCCGAACGTCAAGGCGAGCGATTGCTTCGTGTCAAGCAGCGCGAGCTCCAGAGTGTTTGGGCCGTCGTCACAACGGCAGTCTGATTCCCACACCAGCACTGACGACGAACGGGCCCGCCACCGCCAGCACGCACACAACAGTGGCTGGGACACGCCACGAACAGTGTGTAACGGAATTCCCGCCTCCGGCGTGTGTTGCGGAATTCGAAGGGAAGCAATGACCCAAGTGAACACCTCACGCAACCCTTTGTCTCTGCTCCAATCTTGTGACGTGACCGACCAATCAAGCACTGCTCAGTGGTTGGTTGCAACGATATGCGCTGTAGTGCTGTGTTGGATCATTGGACAACCAGCCACACAACGCTCACGCCACCACGACATTCACAGCGTTGATGGTGACGCCCTGACCTGACAAAGACAAAGAGCAACGCAGTACACAAGTCCAGCGACGCACACGCACGCGCGCATACCCACACGCACTCGCATACACCCCCCCCCCACACACACACACACACACACTCACGCACGCACGCGCACACACACACACCAGCACACACCAGCACACACAATGGTAGCTGCTTTTCATCGGTTGCGGCAACGGCCGCAGCTTCACCCCTCAGCAGTGCTCGTCCTGCTGGTGATTGCCTTGTCCATCATCAACACACGTGCAGACTTTGGGGCAGGAGGCAGCTTTGCCACCTACAACCGCCACAGCGCCCGCAGTGTCCGCAGCAACAGCATGAACGCTGGTAACCAACCCCGAAGCAACACAACCACCGATGATGACATTCCTGGATTTGTGTTCATCAAGACGCACAAGACGGGGTCGTCGAGCGTGACTGTCATGCTTGCGCAGGCGCTGGAGCGTCGCGGCCTGAAGCCGGCCGTTCCCTGCTATGACCACCTGGGGTACCCGCGAGAGTTTGACGACCCGGCGCACACCTTGTGCGGGCGCGACCCGCTCCACTTCAAGGCGGCCATCTCCCACATTCGCTGGACAGAGACATCCCGCACCACGCTGCTCAAGCTCATGGCGCCCGACCGCCCCAAGATCTTCACCATCGTGCGCGACCCCATCACCCGGTTCATCTCAGCGCTCGGCTACTACAACAACAAGAAGCTCCAGCAGCAATTGCACTTCGACCGCAACGACATTCGCGAGGCATGGTTGCGCGAGGCCACCCACCGCATCGCGCTCTCGGAGGTGCGAGACGACGTGGCCAAGTACGCGCGACAACTGCACTTTATCGGCTACGCCTTTGACTTTGGCCTGGCAAACGACTACGAGCCACGGGAGAGCGCAAACTTCCGGCAGCGTGCAAAGGAGTTTGTCGATTCGCTTGACTTTGTGCTGCTTTACGAGGAGTGGGACCTGTCCATGGCGCTGCTCAAGCGAGACCTCAATATGACGTACAAGGACGTGGTTTACCCGCACCTGAAGAAGGTTGGGAAGGGCCCCGTCGTTGTGTCGCAGGCAACGCGCGACCTCTTCTGCCAGGTGCTGTGGACCGACTGCATCCTGTATGACCTGATTCAGCAGCGGTTTTGGGCAGCGGTGGACGACGACCTTCGCCGGAGCGCGAAAGTCGTCACTGAGGTGAACGAGGCCGCGCGTCTTGAGGATCAAACGGGCGGCAGGGGCAAGATGGACGTGCAAGACTACTTCAACCGTCTTCGCAAGACAACCTAGTTCCCTTGACAACCCCACGGCTCTCTCGTCTTCCCAGTCTCGCGATGCACGATGAGTTTATGCGTGTGTGCGTGTGCGTGTGCGTGTGTGTGTGCGTGTGTGTGTGCGTGTGTGAGTGCGTGCCCTGCGTATGTGCGTATTTGTGTGTGATAGCTTTGTTCTTAGCTTGTTGCTACCAAGCAATTTGCTTGTTGCTGTGACATGCTCGTTTGTTCGTGATTCTGCTCCTGAAACTCTCGTCGACTCTGTTGCTTTATCGGAGTCTTCTTCTGTTACTTCTGATAGTGACACGGAACGACCTCCTTGGTCTTCCGACTTGTGACTGAAGTCACTCATTGTTCCCGTTCCCGTCGCCTTCTAGTTGTTGCGTTCTTCTGACCGTTCTCTTTTCATGAAGACGTGACTTTGGCTTTGGCGTAATCATTTCGCCGCTCATGATGTGTCCTCATTCTCTCTTCTTTCTCTCACGTGTTCTCCCGCTCCCTGCTGTAATGCTGTTCTTTCTGCTCGTTCCGCGGACATGACACGAGGACACGTATCCTTTGTCCCCGTTCATTCAGTCCCGCCCGCCCTCTTGTTCGTGCTTGCTTGCTTTGTGCCTGCTGCCAAGAAGAGTTCAGAATATGCGCTGAGGGTGGTCGCTTGTGTGACAGAGAGTGCGTGTGATGAGTGCGTGTGGTTGATGTGTGACGTGTGGAGAGCAGGAGAGAAGGCCTGAAGGCGTGAAGGCAAAGGAGGAAAGGTTCATGTTCTGTTATCCTGTTATCGCCGCGTCACACGACCACCCGTCATGTCATCAAGGGCTTCAAGCACAAAAAAAAAGGGCACACCATGTTTCGACTACAGTTTATGCTGTTGCTTTTGCATTTCCCATTCGACCACCCACCACACACGTGCCACCAACCACACCAACCACACCAACCACACACACACACATCCCCACAACCAACCATGACGACCCGTGTGATGACCATTGAGGATGACGACCCCATCGTCAACGAGGAGGAGGAGAACGAGGAGGAGGAAGAGGAGGAGAACAAGCTCCTCAGCCGCGGCCCAACAAAGGCGTCCAAGAAGGGCAAGCAAAAGGTACTGTCGCAAGCAGCAGGTGGAGCTGCGTGTTCTGTGTGTTTGTGCGTGTGTGTGTGTGTGCGTGTGTGTGTGTGCTGCAACAAGCGCGTGTTGGTTGGATGCTGATGCGCAAGGTGGATATGTACTGCCCACCGTCGCTGACACACTCGTTCTCCTTTTCCCTACTCAAGGGCGACGCCGCCTCTGGGTTTGACCCGGAGTTTTCATTCGAGACCACCGACCTGGACGACGCATACAACGAGACCCTGGCCGCCGCCACGGAGGAAGCAGACCGTGTGCCGCTGCAGAACCGCATTGACCTGCTCTTGGAGCGCCGCAAGAAGCGCCTCGAGGCAGAAATGAAGGCCAAACAGGAAGGAGGTACATTGACTGCGCACGCATGCGTTCGTGTTCGTTTGTATGTGTGGGTGCGAATTTGAGTGTGGTTGCGCATGTATTTGTGTATGTGTATGTGAGTGTGGTTACGCATGGTATGTGTGCGTGTGCGTATGTGTATGTGAGTGTGGTTACGCATGGTATGTGTGGGTGCGCGTGTGTATGCGTGTGTGTGTGTATTCGTGCGCGTGGTTACCAATTCTCTCCTCCCGGATCCCCCCCCTCTTCTCCTGACAACCTAACACTGTCACACGGCTTCCACCCCCAACCACCACGTAGGAGAGACAGAGGATAATGAGGGGAGCGAAAATGAGGATGAGGATGGCGAAGAGGTGCTGGTGGACAAGGCGAGCACGCCCATGGCACCACTGCCCAACTTGGACGACCTCGAGGACAGCGATGACGAAATCGACGAAGAGGTCAGATCGTATGGTGATGCAGAGTGTGGTGGCACAGAGTGTTGTTGAGTCGTTCCCTGCGTTTGCTTTGCATGTCACGTTGTGCCGCGCGCGGCTCTTGATAACCATTAATCGCAGCTCATCACGGCATTGTTGCTGCTGTTGTTGCACGCGGCTCACAGGAGGAGCAGCTCCGCAAAGAGTTCTTCTCAGATACGCCAGAGGTTGGTGTGTGTGTGCATGTGTGTGTGTGTGTGCATATGTGTGTGTGTTGTGTGTGTGTGTGTGTGTGTGTGTGTTTGTGTGTGTGTGTCCATGCGTGTGTGCCCATGCATGCGCACGCATACATCTGCATGTGCTCTTATTTCAGCGACCACCTCCTTTTCCCTCACATCCTGCTCGCTTGCTCCGTCCCTGTGCCAGGTGGATGTGTCTGCCGTGTCGAGCTTCAGCGACCTCAACCTCAGCCGCGCCCTGCAGGTTGGGCTGACCGGCATGGGCCTCCACAAGCCAACGCCAATCCAGGTGAGCAACACGGAGGAGACGGTGGAACGTGTGTGTGTGTGAGTTGTGTGAACATTCGTGTGTGTGTGTGTGTGGTGAGTGTCATGCTACGTTCTTTCTCCCCCACAACCACCACCAACGCTCCCACCCATCAATCCACCACCACCACCAACACACACACACACACACCCATTCCCCCATCCGTCAAGGCACGTGCCATCCCGATTGGACTGATGGGGAAGGACATGTGCGCGTGTGCGGCGACTGGCAGCGGCAAAACTCTCGCGTTTCTCATCCCTGCACTCGACCGCCTCTCGTACAAGTCAGTGCACTCACACCCATGGAGATTAACGCGTTGTGACTGCTTTCGCCATGTGTGACAGTATTAGCGTACTCGTGTATCTTCACCACAAATCGTAGTGGCTCCGCAGCGTGCACTTTTGTTGAAGATGCCCTCCTCCTCACACACACACACACACACACACACACACACACACACACTTGTGTCGTTCAGGCCGCCCGGCCCGTCTGTGACGCGCGTGCTGGTGCTGGCACCGACGCGTGAGCTCGCCAAACAAGTGCACGAGGTGAGCACGCCTGCCTGCCTTGCTTTGCTTCTACGGTACTCCTGTGCTGCTCGTTCGATTTTATTGATGTAGCGTTGAACGTTGCTCTTCCTCACGTCCCCACTCCGTTGCGTGTGTGTGTGTGTGTGTGTGTGTGTGTGTGTGTGTGTGTGTGTGTGTGTGTGTGTGTGTGTGTGTGTGTGTGTGTGTGTGTGTGTGCAGAATGCGTGGAAGCTCTCTGCCATGTTCCAATCGAGCAAGAAAGGGCTCAACATTTCGTGCGCCCTCATCATGGGAGGTGCGCATCTGTCCCATCACCTGTGTGTCACATAACCTTGCATGTGTGTGTGTGTGTGTGACATGAGGCCTCCACTGTGCATGCACGATGCCATTCCCCGTTCACCAAACCCCGCATGGATGCCTTGTCTGTCCCCTCTGAAAACGTCACCACCTCCCCATCACGTGCAGGCAACAAGCTGCAAGCTGATCTCCCGATCATCAAGGCCCGCCCAGACGTCATTGTCGCCACGCCAGGCAGGCTCGTCGACCACATCGAGAACACGCCAGGGTCAGTTCGATGATGGCGACGGCGGCGGCGGCGGTGGTGGTGGTCGACGAAAGAGACAGAGAGCGCACACATACATACACACACATCCACACATCCATACATACACACACATCCACACATACATACACATCCACACATACATACATACACATCTGCACATACATACACGCACATCTGTACATACATACACACGCACGCACACGCATGTGCTCTCTCCCTCTTCCTTTTGCTCGTGTGCTCACGAGAGGGTTGTGGTTTCGACTGATGTGTGCCGACGCTGGACTACTCTGTGCTCGCGACAGGTTTGACCTGAGCACGGTGGAGATTTTGATCCTGGATGAGGCGGACAGGCTGCTTGAACTCGGGTTTGAGGATCACTTGAAGTCCATTGTCAAGTCGTGCAAACCAGACAGGCAAACCATGCTCTTCTCAGCCACCATGACAGGTGCGGTGCCGCTGTGGAGAACGGGAGGGGATGTTGTTGGTCAACCACAGCAACGCGTGAGCTTCCGCCACGAACTTGGCTCGATACGCTTTTGTTCGCCACACTTGCTCACAACAGCAACCCACTCTCAATACAAACAAACACACACACACACACACACACACACACACACACACACACACACACACACACACACACACACACACACACACACACACACACACACACACAAAACACACACACACACACACACACACACACGTGTGTACATTCTCACGCGTCTCGCATCGCCACGACCATCACCACCTCCGCCACCTTTCACTGCGGCTTGGTGCGGTGCAGCGAGCAAACCGCTGTCAAAGGCGAAGCGGCGGATGGAAATGGGATTTGACCTCGACCTCGCAGACACATCCAAGCGAGGTGCGCAGTCCAAGACTTGCAATTCATGGTTGATCGGTCACGATTTGCACACATACACACACACACACACTCACACACTCACAGCCACACACTCACACTCACACACTCACACACACACACATACACACACACATTACCCGCTCACTGCGTCGCCTGTTGCGCCGTTGTTTGTCCTTGCTGCTGACAGCGAAAACGGAGGCAAAGGCCAAGAGCTCGCTGCTCAAGAAGAAGTCATCGGCAAAGAAGGTTTGGAGTGCTCAATACAACTCCTGCGTGCGAATGAGTGTGCAGTGTGTCCGGGTCGCTTGTGTTTGGACCCCATCGTTCCTTCTCTCTTCTCTCTCCCCTTTCTCGAGCACGCACATCACTTCCATGCCCTCACGCCCACCCCCACCCAATGCACCTGTTGTTGCCGACACCAGCGGCAGTTGGCTTCGGACGCGAGCAAACGCAAGAAGGGCCCGGGCCGACGCGGATCAAAGTTCAAATCAAAGACAAAGTACGGGTTGTGTGCGTGTGTGCGTGTGCGTGCGTGTGCGTGTGTGTGTGTGTGCGTGTGTGTGTGTGTGTGTGTGTGTGTGTGTGTGTGTGTGTGTGTGTGTGTGTGTGTGTGTGTGTGTGTGTGTGTGTGTGTTTATTTCGTGTTTGCGTCACGTTTGAGCGTTACCTGTTGCAGCCCTCGCTCACACTCGCCCCCGCCCCCACCTGCACCCATTCTTCACAGGCACAAGCGTCGTTGAAGTTGCAGCTCGCCATGTCACTTCTTGCCTTCTTTGTGCATACATATACGTGTATGTATCTTCGTCTGTGGCCTTGCGTGTTTGTTTGTGTGGCTGGTTGGACGCGCAGGAGTTGTGGTTCACTGTCGTTTACACAAGAGATTAGAGATGCCAAGAACAGCCAATAACAATTCAACAGCAGACTGTGGCACTGCAATGCACACACACGCAGACAGACAGACAGACAGACACAGACACACACACAGACACACACACACAGACACACACACACACACACACACACACACACACACGAGACAGGTTTCACGCGTCGTGGTGCGCAAGCGATGCTGCGAGGAAGGCGTGGAGTTTGTGTGGCGGTTCATTGAGTTGTGCAAACGTGAGCATGACATCGTACACCCGCGCCACCGTCACGCCATCATTGCACAGCTGTGTCGACAGCTGCTCAAGCGACGTCGCAAACTCCTCCCCAGCGTCAAACATGTAGTACCTGTTGTGTGTGTGTGTGTATGCGCGCGCGCGCGCGCGCGCGCGTGTGTGTGTGTGTGTGTGTGTGTGTGTGTGTGTGTGTGTCAGCGTGCAAAAGATGTGCGTGCAGTGCAAACATGCAAGCAAGTGTTGTTGTAAAGGTGAGACCACAACAGGCGTGACAGCAACTGCATGTGCCATTGAACATCAACAGCAGTGGCAGCAGCGCAACGCACTTCATTGGTCTGCCAGCACGCGAGGCCGCCAGCCACTGCAGCACAGACTTCACCCACACGCTCCCGCCAAATGCACCTGGACAGACCCAACATCAACATCACATCAACAGCCGCATGAAGAGGAGCAGCAGGAGAGGGGAGAGTTGGTGGGTCAGCACTGATAAACACCCATGAACAGAGTGCACACACAAACAACAATCAATCAACACACACACAAAGCAGCACACACACACACACACACACAGCAGCACACACACACACAAAGCAGCATACACACACACACACACACACACAAAGCAGCATACACACACACACACACACAA